GGGGAACTCTGCAAAAAACGCATCTTCGCACGGGCAGCCCGTGCGTTGGCCAATTTTTTTAATTTTCAAGACATTACTGGAAAAATCATTGTATTTTCGTGTCTCACCTGAACTATCCGGGATGAGATCGATGCACTTCAGTGGTCCATCTTGTAGGCGCAATGCTGCCATAAAAGGCCGCGAATGATAACACACTGTAATATCGCCATTATAGGTTGTAATTGCAGCGCTGAAAAGTTTTTTTTTTCAGATGAAAAAATCATCCCTTTCTTTACTGCTTCCCCTCCTCTCCCCCCTCCCCCCCCCTCCCCCCAACCTTTGCATAAACCTTTTGATGAGAAATTTAGGCACTCAGAATACTGGCATAGTTCATACACACTGCTAATTGCAACCATCTGCTGGCAGCCACTCTGACGATGCCTACTTTTCCAAATTGACTGTAACCCCAAAGCTGATGTCAATTTTGACTTTTCAGCATCTGCTAATACCAATTTACCATCGAAACGAATAAATGAATCGTAAGTGAACTGATTTCATCGCTTCAGCCTGATACTATCACCGCAAAACTGACAGAACATCACGACCGGCTAACTCATTTTTATGAGAAAAATTAAATGTCCGAAAAATAAGTGTGAAAAAAAATCCGATGTTACTAATGTCACATCCAGAACTTTCCCAACATCCACATGTAAAATCTATGTAACCGCCAAAAGCAAAATTCAATAAAAACTCAAAATTCAATAAAATGCGGTAAAATGAAATACGTACAATCGTTTGTTGCTTCGGATTCCACTAACCCACTCGGATAAATCAATTTCGTGAATGGGCACTGGTGCTGATTCTTGTACAATACACTCAATACGGATAGTGGACTCCTACAAAAACCCTCTAATCACAGAACACTGCAACAGATTACACAATGCTAAAGAAATGTTCGTTGATTAGGCCTATCGATGGCCAAATTTTCAACAGTTTCACCCAGTTCGGCGCCTCGCTCGGGCCGTCCATTTTTCATTCGGCCATCTAATGACCCTTACACTTCACAAAAAACTCGGACTACCAAAATTACCAGAACTGTCCGGAAAATTAGGGTAAGAATCTAATGTCGCTGATGTTATAATTACCTTAGAAAACTCTATGCCACAAGTTCTACATAAGTATTGCATCCATGTATACGTTTGCGTACGTGTACTTATGAATTTTATCCGATATACTTCGAATTATGCATCAAAATCCAAAAAAAAATTTTCCGAAAAATGTCATGTTAAATTTTTCATGCTAAATTTGTCATTTTAAATTTTTCATGCAAAATTTGTTATTTTAAATTTTCATGTTAAATTTTTTGTACCGTGTTAAATTTTTTCGAAAAATTTTGAATTCCCAGAAAATGCTATGAAAGGCAAGGCAAACATGAAATATTTCTATGTCCTAGCAAACCCCTCCCCTTCCCTCCCTTCTGATTTCTTCATGCAATAAACAAAAAAACTAACCTTAGGCACATTATTGTTTTGGACGAAGTCATTCAGCGTGTTCCTCAAAAATGCTGATGAAATGAGGAAATCAAACACAACGGGTTCTGGCTGCTGTTCCTGCGACTTATCTGTAACATCAAAATGAAGCCACGGATAGTTCAGATGGTATTACTGTAACTATAAAACAAATCAACGGTTTTTTTTCCAAAAAATTCAAAAAAAAATTAACCACATGCACTGTACAGTAAATTTGTAGTGGATGTGGTGGTCGTTGTGGCGCGGGGGCATACAGGGAAGCATTCATTGGATGTAAAAAAAAAAAAAAAAAAAAAAAGACAGCAATCAAAATAACGATTAAGCCGGCCTAACCATAGGATGGTGGGACGTGAAGGGCTCTGCCAAACTCCCGTAACGGCCAGTCGATGAGTGAGACGACGCGGAGTCGAGTTGTGAGTTTTCGAAGAGAGATGTGAGACACCAACTGGGAGACAAGACCAGGACCCAGAGTGACGGAAATAAGGGTTTATATGGAGCCTAAAGGATCCATCCCGAAAGTGAAGGAATGATCCTCCTTTTGCGGTGATGAAGACCCAAAAGAAGCCAGACAGGCGTGTTGGAAAAAGTTGTTGACCAGAAAAAGGATGGAATTGGAAGAAATGTGAAGATTGTTAAGATTAAGATGGGACAGGGGGATTGGATTAGTGTAATGAGTCATGAAATGAAGGAAATAGAAACAGCATAAAAACTATAAATAACATATTTGTACCTATTTACAGTACATCTACTACATACATAAGAAAAAAACAAACCAGCACAACTGTTAAGTGCTTCATTTGCTAGCGCATTCAAATTCTCAGCGGTGACATCAGCTGGTACTACGAATGCATGTTCAGGAATGTGCCGATATCTGAAATACCATCTATTCGATAGCTTTGAAGAATTTTCAATGCAATAATTTAACAACCCCGGCCGGTATAAGTGCACGACAAGTGGTACAACCCTCGTGCTAAGGGGTCTACTGCACCAGCAGGGCAACTAATCCCTCTACGATTTGTTTCAGTGGCAAATTACTAATGATCCTTGCCACAGAGGTCAAATCCGCCATCAGCTTGTTTCTAAGTGCGATCATGCGTTTTTGCACTAAACTCGCAGATCGCTATTGGCAGGGATGTTTCCTACGCTGTAGTCTAACACTTGGGCTAATATCGGCCATGCTTCGGTCCATACCGGCATGCAGGAGGAAGGCGAAGGAGGGAACTGTTGACTGCCTTGACAACGACTGGCTGTTGCTTGTACCTGCTAATACTTGGGCTTTTTCCAACTGGCCCTGCTCCTCATAGGCGGATCCAGTGGAAATGGGGAAGGGGGAGGGAGGAAGCAGCACAGGCACCTGTGCTAGAACTGAAGAAAACTCTCTTCCACCCTTCCCCCATTCCACCCCGGGAGCCCCACTTCTTCTCCCCTCCCGGTCACCACTGCAACAATAGGCCTACTTCCCCCTCCCTTCCTGCCCCAAATCATGGTCTCACTAGCAGACCTACTTTCGTCCTTCCCCCGGCCATCGCCACGCCAGAAGCCCCGCTCCCCCTCCCCCTAGAAGGTGTCCTGGATCCGCTTCTTCCTAGGGTGAATATGAAGAGGGTTTCGATTGTGAACTGAACGGGCACAAAAGGCAGAAGCAACACTTACCTTTCATCGTTGGAGAAAAACGATATCTGATAATGTTCGTCCATTCCGAGATCCCTGCAATAACGATTGTGAAAGTCAAAAAGTCAAAACTCCCTCCGTTTTTCGCTCTCAGTGACAAGCGGGGGCACTCACGAAACAGCCCGAGTAGTAGCAAATGCCAACAGCGCAATCACACGCTAGAAAGGCTATCGATGGCTCCCTCTTCTGACGGGTTGCTTACAAGCAAGCTGATCGCGGGTTTGACTCCCCTGGCACATGCCAGTATACCAATTTACCATCGAAACGAATCGTAAAGGGATTGGGTTGTTGTCCCATCGGCAGTGTCGCGCTTTCGACCTACTGCACGGCAACAGTGCTAACTCACCGAGCTAACAATTATTTTTGTAAAATCGATAAAAATTGACATCGACGCAAGCGCTTTTTCGCAAATAAACACCATATCAGCACCAATAATTCGCCTCCTCCCTGAGCAACTCACTGGAGCCCGTAAATGGAACCGGAAAAACAAATTTTGATAAAGGCCATCCGCCATCCTTGGAGTTCTGCTTCGGTCTCTGCGGGGTGACGAGAGTAAATACTGGAACTAGGGCCTAGCTTGGTACAGTTTTACTCGACTTGGCTGGGTCGGGAAGGGCGAGTTATTCTACTGGGTAGCAGAGAACGGGTACGAGAGGGAAGGGAGACGGGGTGCTTGTCCAGGTCTCATGGAACGCAACAGAGGGGAGGATAAGAGGATATTAGCTGCATCGCTTCCATCCTTCCCCCAACCGAAACTGACCCCGAAAGAATAAATGGACCCACCGGCCTCCCACGACCCTCCCCTCCCCCGCCTCTCCCCGCCACTCCAAGAACGACCAATGACGTCAATGGGGCTACTACGAAAACTCGGCTCAACCACTATTTGAGAGATGCTCTCGTTTCTCTGCTAATGCTATTTCCCAACGACACTTGCAGACGTCCCTTGGCATTCTGCCAGCGAGTGCTGGGCAAAGTTACCAAGTGCTCGGTAGTTGGATGAATGCAGTTGGCGGGGTGGTGGATAAAATACTCGTATTTGAAAGCATTTTACTACCGGCAGTGCATTGCCATTAAACAGCCAAAAAAATAATAAATGGTCAGCGCACGGACTACTCAAGATGCTTTTTTTGCACAGCTCCCCGTTTTCTTTGTCGCTACTGGCACCGGTTTTTCCGGCAAATGCTTCTAGCTAAGAGAATTGAGACTAGCAACCAGGACTGTCTGAAAACATCCCCTTAAAATTTCAGCATTCCCTTAAAATTTCATTTTGTAGCTTTGCCGTTTCCCAACTTAGCAACTTACCCGGAAAAGACTTTCACGGGCCCGTATGCGGGTACACGCACAACCGAAGGCTGGATTTGAGTTCATTAATACCTACTTGGACGAGGAATATCCTCTTAAAATTCCAGTCTTCTAGCTTTTCAGGTTCCCGAGTTAGCAACTTACCCAAAAAAACTGGTGCTTGGGTACCGTCCGGGTAAGAGCGCCCATCTTGGAGGGGGCCCGTACATGCATGTAGATTAAATTCCCAGAGTTTTAGCCCTGTAGCTTTTGTAGGTCTCGAGATGAAAACAGGCGTCCAGAGCAGACACATACACACACAGACAACCTCTCGTCAATATGCGTTTTTTGCATTGCATGGATGCAAAAAGCAAATAAAAATTATAAAAGAAGTGCATTTTATACCTGCCTTAACCATTATCTGTCTTGACATCATGGGCCGGAACGTATTGACTCATTTTTTAGTCCCTTATCTCTTGCTTCTTCTTGTTCTCCTCTTCTTTTTTCTCTGCATTATCATCCTGCATATATGCAAGTAATTAATTAACTGCTCCTAATAGGTTGCTGGAATTGTGGGAGTTAAGTGATGCTAAATTTTAGGCTTTTAATTCGGGAAAATTAGGACTGTTTTGAAATATGCATGAATCTGCATGTCAAAGCAGAGTGGATTGCTTCTTGCCATAGGCGAATCTGGGGTCTTTTGCAACCCCTTCATCTCCCTGCTCTCGCAGCTGCACAGGCACCAGCGCTGCAAAAGCCCGGGTCTAAAGCTAAAACTAAAGTAAACTAAAGTCTAAAGTAACTCTAAGTAGCAGTGTTACAACTCTATTCGTAGCTTTTGCATTTGTTCCAGAATGGGAGGGGACTCTCCTTCCCACCGTCTGTCGCCTTTCCCTCTCTCCCCCAAGTCGAGTCCATTCTGGATCCGCTTATGCTTTTTCCTGATTTGACGACAAATGTTATTGTTGGAGTTTTGCGAAGTTTTCAGTGGCCTCAATGTCAGAAAGCGAGTACTGCCTATTGTTTCATTGGACTGCTTCCGATTAAGTCTCTACAGGAATTGTGTCATTGTTTGCTCTCTGCTGGAGCAGCTTTGTCGAAGTTTAGCTACACATGAATGTCTGATGAACTAACCGAGAGCAATTCGTCGTTGAAGGCGCAATGGGACTGCTGCGTTCTGGGCCCTGTGAGGCCAGGCCCTGTGATTTGAGATGAGGACACTGCAAAGAGGAGGAGGAGGAGAGCCAGAGCTTTACACATGGAGAGGGCTTGGCCAGTTGTAGCAGAGGCCCAGAGCAACTTGGCAGTCTGGGCTGTGTGTGTGTGTGTTATGATGGATTCGGCTTGATGATGGTGCCACTACTGCTGCGATGTGCTCGTCTTGTTGCTGCTTTCATTCCTCTGCGCGATATTATTGCTGTCCGCTAAGCTACCGCTACAACGACGACCTACTACTAAGTACTGGGGCCAGTGCCGAGCAAAAATTATCTTAAAATTGATTATTAGCTTGGTTCCGAAAAGCAGAAAGAATGGTAGAGGGTGGCATCATTCTCGTCAAATATCTCCTCTTCTTGGCCAATTTCATTCTTTGGGTAAGTTCTCTGGTTTTTTTTTTTTTTTGCCCTCACGATTTTGATAATTTGAGTTTCAAAATTACTCAGATTCATTTAGATTTCAGAATCAAAATTATTCGAAATTCGAACTATCAGAACTCAAAATAATCTGAGTTCTGATAATTTGAGTTTCAAACAAAATTAAAAAATTATGATATTGGTTCTATCTCATGGAACAGTACAATTGTTTGGTCACTGAAGTTAGTGGCCCTGCAGACACACTGGTTGACCACTGACTGACCACTGACATTTTAAGGTATAGCGTTTGTCAGCTTTTCCCTTAAAACCTGTACCTCACCCCTTTTTCTGTACTTTTTCATCTCTGCCTCTCTTCTTGTGTAAAAGAATGTCAAAATCATCCAGGCAAAATAAAAAGATTACAAAATCTGGTAAAGAAGTGCAAAATTTAACCACAGAAACAAAAATTTTGCTTTTTAAAGCTGAAATTTCGCTCTTTCAAGCAACAGCCAAGGAATGCTAAAGGGGAGATTTAGGCTGGTGGAAAATGAAAAACGGTCCAAAAAGCTCGGCTCGTCTCACGAAGCCCGG